GTGCAGTCAGTCTGTGCAGTCAGTCAGTGCAGTCAGTCAGTGCAGTCAGTTGGTGCAGTCAGTTGGTGCAGTCAGTTGGTGCAGTCAATTGATGCAGTCAGTCAGTTAGTTGATGATTAATTATTACTGCTTCTTACCTAGTTCTTTTCCAAGAGCGAGATTTTCATGCTTGAGTTCAAAGTTCTTCACTGACTTAAACTGATTGACATATCCAGAGCTCTTCTTTAGCTTCACAGAGTCATATATGGCCTCAAACCCAGCTGAAAATTAACCAGATATATTAGGAAAGGCATGTCAGAATCACATACATACATATGTACAGGCGTCTGTGCACACATCAAAGATTCATTTGATTTAATTAATATAATAATAATGATATTTTATTTGTTAGAAGATACTGATTAATTCGACAGCTTTCCCTGATGTGGGCTTGTTTCACTCACACTCACTACCACTACATTTACTATGTTATGCAGTTACACAGCACCCAACTCATATGTCTATTTCTAAGGAGGGAGGAAAACGGGAAAACCAGGAGAAAAACCCTCATGACAAGGGAGAGAAAAACACTTCTCAAACTCATTAATAATTCATGAGGTCAATGACCAATGGCGACTTTTCATTGTAGTCATGTGCACGCACCTTGATGCTGGATTAAAAACGGATCAAGACACTGATCAAAACACTGACAAATAAACGAATAACTGAGAAGGATTTTTTAGTCACACAAGATTCAAGAACAAATGAATTCAGTTTAAAAACTTGTGCTTAGTGTTAATCCAAACACCTTGAAAAAATAACAGCATGAGGCCTAACRACCTTGTGCTTTCATGTTTCTCCGTGTTTGGAACACTTGCACTTGTTTTTGATCTATTACATCAAACAAACCCAATAGACCTCCTTGGCTCTGCATAATGTTGTCCCATTTCAGACCATGTGTCATTCCCTTGAGAATAAGATTCTTTATTCGGCATGGCATGTGCAACCAAGCGCAACCGTTAACCAAAGAAATGTTACTCTAGGGAATGACACGTRGTCTGAAATGGGAAAACATTATGTCAGAGCTGAGGAGGTCTATTCACATGTGGCATCCACAGGACTTGAACCAGGGATCTGCCCATTGGAAAGACGACGCATTAGCAGCGTAAGCTACCCATGTTACCCACATTTCAAAACAATCTACAAAGAGCACTGTCACTTTACCTTGATTATTACCAGTAGGGTTGTGTTGAGATGGTGGTCGTCCAGGAAGGAGAGGTAAAGGTGACGTTGGACTTCTGGGACTTCTTGGCAAAGACCCTTGAAATCCAGCTCCTGTTGGAACTAAAAATTCAACATAATTAATAATAATAATAATGATGATAATAAAAATGAAAATAATATAATAATAATAATGTTATCCATGGAAACCTATTCATCTTAGAGATTTTCAGTACGTAGGACCAGTCATCTCATACAAAAATGGCCAATTTGTGTGAAATGGTTGTGTTTGTCCACAAGGGCTTGTGCAAAGAGGTAGTCGAAACAACCATGAACTGCATAATATGTGTGCATATTAATTCAGTATTAAAGCCACATGCGTGTCCCAGAAATTTGCCTTTCATTTCTTACGTTTTGGTGGTGAGCCTACGACAGGGGGGCTAGCATCTTCACTAAACGATCTGCTTGCTGGTCTCCCTGGGAAACCAAATTCTGGACGAGGAAGAGATCCACGTCGTTCTTCAAACAGTGTGACATCACATGGCTCAGTGAGCGTGTACAAAAGCCCATCATTAGTTTGGCAATAGTGATCTACAGCAAGCATTAGGTTGTCAAACTTTGGACCGGACTGTATTGAAAGTTGGCCACGGCTGTCAGCATCAAATAGGTAGTGAACGACAGTTCCATTGCAGCAGAGGCCCATGGCATATGTCCCTTTTGGGGACTTTCTTTCTCGTACAAGGTAAAGGCCATTGACACACCCACAGCGCTGGAGCCTGCGTTCCGCTTCCTCACGAGAGATATTTCCATGAAACCAATTTTCGCTTTGATGGAGAACTTTTCCAATAAAGCTTTCCATTTGTCGTTGCATTTGTGGATCATCCTGTAGACATTAAATTTAAAATTATCAAAACTGAGTACAACTCTCAACTCACAAATTCCAATTTGATCACTGAATAGGAGCCATAGGTTTGTTAGCCAATGACTATTGAGACCATGAAGATGAAGATGATTTACTTACTAAGATTCCCATTGATTCCAATGCCCTCTCTGCAGCATCTTTAATATGCTTTTGATTTGTTCCTCCATAGGATCTTGGAAGAACCCCAGGCTTCCGGCATAAAGGAGTTATTAATTTGCACAATAGACCATCAAGCTGAACTGAATGATAACGCACAAGCTCAACTGGTCCAGGAAATCTTGGTCCGTCTTCGATCGCTACATGGCCATCCGATGTTCTCTGGGCTTGGTAGTGTATGATTTTGTTGTTATAACACATTGACAAGGCATAGCTTCCAACTTGAGATATACTTTCTCGCACTAAAAATAAACCATCTTTTTTTCCTCCTCTGATTAAAAGATCTTCTGCTTCTTGTCGAGAGATGCAGCCATGAAACCATGCCTGGGTGTCCGGACTAACAGCCATTGTTTTATTTTTAAATCCTAGAACAAAATAATGCAAGATTATAGATACCCAATATTGATATTCCATCCAATTGATTGCAATCGGTTTAGTATAGATTGGAGTCAATCAAACACAATCAACATTCAACTATGTTCAAATTTTGATTATGTTTAATTGAAATCAATTGAAATCGAATGCTTTCAAATCCAATTCAATTGAATTTGATTTCAGAATCATTTGATCGATTATGCCAGGTAGTTATACTTTCTGTGTGACACACTGAATAATTTTCATCTCCTACCTATATTGCAGTCTATAATTTATAAATCCTTCAAAATTGTAAACAAAACAAAATTCCCCCAAAATTTCCCACATAATTCCTTTTGGATTCAAAATAAATTTAAATGATCGTTAGAATCACAATATAATGGCAGTTGAGGCGTACGTGTAAGTCAATCTGGCCTTTTGTGACCCGTTAAGTTCCAGCAACATAACCAAGTTATGAGAATATCAATGTTTAGTGCATGCAGTCAAATTTCCGCTCCAGCGTCATGTAGACATGACTTCTTAAACAAATTACAATACATAATTGTCTACCTTGAGTTTCTATAAAATGGGTTGTCCATTAATCTATTGTTGATCATAATATTAATATCCTTGTTAGTAATTGTTAATATCAACTAACCTTGTTCCTGTAGTCTGAATAAAAAGCTCACTAGTGAAATAATAATCACTTTCTAATGCTTACTCTTACAGGAAAACAATAGGTAAGATTCACAGAATTAGATAGTACGTAAGCAAACGTATGGTTATAAATATATCGTTCCATCAATTTAAAGCTGCGTATTATACTAATTTATTATACTACTTATAGATATATGTCTCAATAAAATCATAATAATTATACAAGTACTTAACAAAGAGTACGACAATAGGACTATCCATGTTTTAAATATTGGTCATCTGAAATCTTCACATCGACTTATAAACAAATTAAATTAACGTCACAGGGAAAGCTTAATCATGGATGACATTCCAGTGTAATCGCTATGAGCTCCATCATTGTCGATGTGTCTCTGTACAGACTTCTAGAGGAAAAGCATTGTGATAAATGATGATATCGTCTCACCTGCTGTTGTATGGATTTCGTTGAGTCCAATTTCAAGAGATTACGATGAAAATGATCTTCAAAAGTCGAGCTAAATTAATGACACTATCAATGTATATAATTTTAAACCTCACTCCATGGTGTGATTGACCACTTCGTTTAGCAAACTCCGATCGCTCTAAAATACCATTCCCTACGAAGTTAAGTCGACATCAAACGATCCCAAGCTGTAATCAATCCAGTACAATCTCTAAAAACTTATGAAAACAACGGAGAAACTTAAAATTGTTTACGATTGAATCTTAACAAAACTTTCGCTCTTTGGATTCGACTCACTTCCTGCTCTACCAAGGGAGGCTCCTAAGCCCCAATCAGATAATATGACAGAGTCTTTGATTGGTTAAAGAGCTGTCAATCAAATATCCACCAATCATATGTACTGATTCATTTCTGATTTATAAAGATCTGAAGGAAATAATCCAACTTTGAGTCTGTTCATGTTTTAGCAACTTTAGGCTCAAAATAAAAAAAATACAGCTTAGAATAAAAATGGATGAAGAGGTTAGAATGTAAAATGCTTCTAGGAATATTGAGATATTTTACTTAATTGTTATTTTTCCTTTTTTTACTCAGAGAATATTATATCAATTTTCAGGTGGAAAAATGTTGTTGAATGCTGTTTTGCTTGATTCATAGGCAGAGAATGATTTGAAGAGTGAAAATGAAATAGCAAAGGAACAGAAAGAGTGTTATTGTGGAGAGGTAAAAGAGAGGTATGTAAATGTAGCTAACACACAAGCTTTATAATATAAATCTTTGTTCAGCTTGGAGCTGTAATACTTTCCTTTAAGATTTTTTTATATCATCCCACATGGATAATTCCTCGATTAGCTTATTATAATAATATTAGTATTTATAGTAAGTATATGTAATAGGACTCCGTGCTGTCCAATTAAGAAATAATTGGATGAGGAAAATTCCAAAGACTGACAAAGTTGGATGAGGCCGTAGGCCGAGTCCAATTTGGCAGTCAGAGGAATTTTTCGAGTCTAATTGTTTCTTGATTGGGGAGCATGAAATCCCATTACCTATTAATTATATGGGTGCCTAATTAATCCCATATCAATAAGACCTGTCCAATTAAGAAAATAATCGGACAGTTACCTATATGGGATTAATGAGAAGCTGTATAATTATATTAGTAATTATAGTAGTATTAATAATAACATCAAATAATGATAATGAATAATAATAATAATAATTATAATTTAATGACTGTCCCACTGGTCTTTATTAAATTGTTTACCAAAATGTACTTTGATTAATAATGATATTATGTTGTTGATGATGAAATGATGAAATGATGATGATGATGATGATGATAACATAATATGTTAACATATATTATATGTAAGATACTGCTATTATAATAAAAACAATAATGCTATTAATATTAATTTCTGTTTTTTTTTTATTATAGTGAGCTTGAAATTTTACGATGCACCTTGTGCAAGAGACGTCTTCATTTAGGTAAACGGCATAGTAAATGTTAATAAATTAATCAATAATAAAAATATATTGATAAAGTGGAGTATATGTAATGTAATCCTGAACACAGAACTTCCTATTAATTCTAACTTTAGGCCAAATATTTACGCTTAATGAGCCTCAAGATTAGAGAGTAAACAATAAAATGACAAAATAAATTGATAAAATCACATTTCATTATTAGTGGATGATACTGGAGTATTTAAAACCAACATAAGAGAGATATGTAGGGATATGGGATACTCAGAGTGCTGTTCACAGGACCTAGACTAGGCTTGAGAGGAAGGTGCTAACATCTTTGATGTGTTTTAAGACTGTTTAAGGTCTGGTCGACCGAGCCCACTGGTAGGAGATGTGTATTTTGAAGTCACTTGCAGCGACTGTGCATCAGATGGAGAAGAAAAATGCAAGAGAGTATATATGAGCTGGTAAGAAGAAAAATTGTGTTGTATTTAGGTTTCTTATAAGTTGGCCTTGCAGCTGCAAAAGTATTAAACTTTATATAAATTTATATTTATTAGTCAGCTCTGATAAATTAATTGGTTGGGCTACCTGTGGTATTTGGCACCACAGGTAAACCAATATAGGGTAATTATAACTTACGTAGATACATTTATTTTTTTAGGTCTCAAGCAGTATACCTGGCTCTGTACAACTTATGCATCTACAGCAGTGGTAGGAAGGGCTACTTTCGATGGAAGGAAGATATTTGTCAGTTCTTGGAAAGAAACTGGATGTTGCTCTTTCCTGGAAGGTGATTCTTTTCGTCTAGCAATTTGACCAATCAGAGTGCATGCTAGAACTCATTTATCTTGTATTCCAGATATCCAGGGTTTGAGATAAGGTGGGGACTTGACAAAAAAATGTGACATTTTCCTCATGCCATTTTACAGGAAGAGAACCACTTCGTGGTGTAGTACAGTTGCTGGCACGCTATCTATAGGATGTCCCCACCACTACAAATCTGGAACTAAGGAATTTAAAGAAAATGGATGGTGGGCTCTGGCAGACAAGGTTCCTCCTGTCGTCAAACTTGGGAGTCCAGGTAGATATCATCATATTCCTACCCAGTTTGCAATGACCTTTTCTGAGTTTGATTAACAGAATGCATTGTGGTCTAGCATGGGTACATGCAATGCCATATACCATACCATGTATGGAATGATGAATATATAAATTTGCTATATTAACTAATTACTGCAAAATAATTGCTTTTTTGCACTTTCAAGGTTCAGAGCGAAAAAGAAAGAAGAATTCTAATAAATCCTCAAAGAAAAGAAAAACACAAGTTGAATTATTAGATGTAAGAGAACAGAATACAAAAGAGGAGGAAGAAGCCAAGGTATGCGTGTGCAGTTTGGGGTGTTCTTTCTTTCATTCTTTCAGTCGCTCATTCATTCCTTCAATTTTTTTAAATATTTCATTTCTAGATTGAATTTATGGATAATAAAAAGAAATTTTTTAAAATTCTATTTAGAAATAAGAGAAAATAATATCAAAGCTTTCTAGCAAGACATGATTTGCAATGATTGTCACATTTTGACCTATTTGCTCCAGATTAGGCAAAGCTGTGTATATATGTTAAATCATAATTGTCTTGCAATGTTTGCAGAAAGAGATGAATGAATCAAATGAAGAAACTGATGATCAACTTCTTGAGGTAGTCATAGTTTAATATTATTTTCTATTACCCACTTTTAGCTTGTATACACACCCTTACA